AAAATATATTTATAAAAAACAATACACACATAATAGGTCGAGTCAATTGTGGACTATGAGTTGGTTGTGGGTCATGGGTCGACCCATGAGTTGTGGATCAACCCGAGGGTCATGGGTGGTGTATTAGTGTGTGTGTTTTTTGATATATTAATATTATTTTATGCTAATTCTGAAGAAAGTATTATGTCCGATTAAATAAAAATATTAGGTGCGATTAAATAAAAAATAATATAATTCAATATTTTGTTACCTTACAATACATCTATCAAACGAACCCTAAAAGAATTTTGATAAGATAGAGTGCATGAGAAATTCTTTTTCTTAAATTTTATTTTCTCCTAATTTTGAACTATTTAATTGAATTTTTCAATTGAATTTCGACATGTCACCTTTATAATCACTTTCAATTTTTTTGATAATGAATTTATATTTAAATTCTTATGTTAGGATGAGATAGGGATATAAGTGTGGTGGCGATGGGTTGTGGTTAGGGGTGTTCACCTTATCTTAAAGGTAGGAAATATGCTCTTCTGTTTTTGTACTCGATACTTTGCGGAAGAGTTTTTTCTTGGTCTACCTTACCCGACAAGTGTGGTATTCCTATCCGACTTCCTACCCGATTAATCGGGTAGTAAGTCGGGTAGAAAATTGGGTAAATATTTTTGTAACAATTAATTTTTGGATTATTTTAACAATTTAATTAAATAACATGTACCAATTTAATAACACAATAAATCAATTAACACTAAAAATCTAAAACAACTACAACAAGAATTATAATAAAACACAAGAAGTAATATGAACATCAATCCACCATAATTGTTATACAAATACAATAACAATTAATTTAAGCTTAAACTTTAAACTATATGAAATACATTAAAATTATAATTGTTTCGCCTGTGGTTAGGGTTTAGGGTTTTTTTAGTTTTTATATATATATATATTAAAAAATTATTATGGATAGGATTGAATAGAAACTTGCGGCCGATCAAAAATTTGAACACCCCTAATTGTGGTGGGGGGTGGGAGTAGGAGTCGCAATGACGAAATATAGATATTATAAATTTTGTGTATTGCACAAAGTGACCACTAATATATTTTGTTTTTGGGGATCAATACCCCCCCAACAATTTTTCAGTAAATCCACGTCACCCAACAATTTTTCTTCTTTTTTTTTTTGATCAGCCCCAACAATTTTTCAGTGGGTCCAAATCCAATCCATTGTCTTCCATACGCGCGCGATACAAGTAGTAAATCCCCATAAGCGCCCCAGGCAAGGTCAAATAATCGTTTGGGCACAGAAGTTGTAAAAACGCCAGATTCGCTGACACTTCCTCTTGTTCCACACCTTAGAGCGCCACATCACTACCCAATCACTTTTCTCCACGTCACCTCCCAAATCAACGGCCTGTATCTCGTCTCCATCCTCGAGTCAATGGTCACGATTCCGTGATCTAGACTCTTCCAAATCAAGATCACAAGAGAGAGAGATAGAGAAAGACTGTATATAACCAGGGTCTAACCAGGGTTAGTTGTTATAGAGAGAGAAAGAGAGAGGGAGAGCAGAATTAAAGCAACATTCGGAGAAAGAGCGAGACAGAGAGAGGAGAGCGAGAAAGAGAGATAAAGAAGTGAGCAAGAAAGAGCGAAGGGAGGGTTTTGGTGGCTTGGACAACAGGATTTAGGGCGGACTTGAATCGAATCCTAGCCGTTTGAACCTTCTCTGATTCCGACTGTTGGGGAATTTGAATCTTCGTACGTCGTTGATCACCGGTTTCCCCTTGGCTTTAGATTGTTCGCTGTTGTGTGATTGACAGATAGAGGGAGGATTGCGCAGATCTGGCCCTCTGGTGAGTTTACTTGTTCGATGTTTTGGATCTCGCAATGTGTTTTCATTCAATAAGGATCTCTCAGTGATGATTCTTTGTTGATTCGATCAGATTTCTGAGTTACTAAGGGAAACTTGTTTGAATTCAATTTGTTTCTATTCTTTCAAGGGATTAAACCTCCCTTCGTAGGATTTTTGTGTCTTTTTTTCCAGTTTTGAACGGAAAATGCTGATAATGCAGAAAATGTTACTCCTGTTCATCAGCGCAGTTTGGTATCTAAATTAGTTTCTCAGATATCTAAAATTTAGAGATGCAAAGTGATTATGAAAATGCTTAATTGCTTAACAACTGTATATACGTTAGTGTGTCGGTTCTTTTACAGATATTTGTTTTGATTTCTTGACGTACTCTTGGTTTGGCTGCCTAAAAATCGTACGAAAAGGGCGTCATCTCAGATTCTCGTAGTGTCCAAAAACTAGTGGACTTTGTTCATCTGTTGTTCATGTCTTAGTTTCTTCGATTATGGATCTTTACACTAGGCGATTTAAGAGTTGATATTTGAGTTTGTCTTGTGATTAACACTCTGGATTGAGTTAGTAGTTTGTACTGTCAGCATCTTTATTAGACTTATTGGGTATTTTTTTCCCGTCGCATTTTGTGATTCATCTTATTTCTTTGACAGAGCGGTGTCTACTGCGTCATCCTTATCAAGCAGATGACTTTATTGATTTAGCAAACTCGACTGTGCTTTCTGTGTTCCTGGTATTGTGGTGTGCTTTGTTCTGTTTTGGAAATAATGGAGGCTGTTTAGATTCTACTTCCCTGATTAATGATAGTGTGCGGATCATTCTTCTACTTCATCCTGTCTCAATCGGCTTCTGAGTTTGGCGTCCACTTGAGAGTTAGAAAAAAGCTCTCGTCTGCCGCCATCTCTGTTGCCGGCTGTGAAAACCAGTATAGGTCGTTCTCTTCCTTTCATGTTTCCTAACCTGGACAGCCCTGTTCAGACGCAGATGGCTGTGGCAGTGTTTAAGAGTCCGCTTGGTGGGGAGTACCATGGAAGTAATAGGATGGAGGGTAAACCTGCAGGGAGGAGACGTGTTTTTGTACAAACTGAGACTGGTTGCGTTTTGGGGATGGAGTTAGATCGGCGTGACAATGCACATACAGTGAAAAGGCGATTGCAGCTTGCCCTCAATGTTCCCACTGAGGAGAGCTCATTGACATTTGGTGATATGGAGCTGAAGAACGACCTCAGTGCTGTTCGAAAGGATTATCCTCTTCTACTAACACGGAATTTAATGCATAGGAGTTCGTCAACTCCTTGTCTTTCACCTACTGGGAGGGATATCCAACAGAGAGATCAGAGTGGTCCGATTGAGATCTTGGGGCAATCACCTCGCTTTGCCAGAACAAAACTACTTGTCAAGGATATTGCCAAGGCGATGAAGATTGGGGTTGATCCGATCCCTGTTCATAGTGGGCTTGGTGGTGCATATTATTTCAGAAACAGCAAAGGTGAGAGTGTTGCCATAGTGAAGCCAACTGATGAAGAACCATTTGCGCCAAACAATCCGAAAGGATTTGTGGGTAAAGCTCTGGGCCAACCAGGCTTGAAAGGTTCAGTGCGGATTGGGGAAACAGGGTTCAGAGAAGTTGCAGCTTATCTTCTTGACTATGATCACTTTGCTAATGTACCTCCCACTGCACTGGTGAAGATCACTCATTCAATCTTCAATATCAATGACGGAGCAATTGGAAACAAGCCTCAAAACAAGAAGCTTGTCAGTAAGATTGCCTCATTTCAGGAGTTCATCCCACATGATTTTGATGCCAGTGATCATGGAACCTCAAGCTTCCCTGTTGCTGCTGTACATCGAATTGGAATCTTAGACATTAGGATTTTCAACACAGATAGGCATGCAGGAAACCTTTTGGTGAGGAAGCTTGATGGTATTGGGAGGTTTGGTCAAGTGGAACTGACTCCAATTGATCATGGTCTCTGTTTGCCAGAAAGTTTGGAGGATCCATACTTCGAGTGGATCCACTGGCCTCAGGCTTCAATACCATTCTCAGAGGATGAGCTTGAGTACATAGAGAATCTTGATCCTAATAGGGACTCTGAGATGCTACGAAGTGAGCTTCCCATGATTCGAGAGGCTTGCCTCCGAGTCTTGGTTCTCTGCACAGTTTTCCTCAAGGAAGCTGCTGTTTTTGGTCTCTGTCTCGCTGAAATTGGTGAGATGATGAGTAGGGAGTTTCGTGCTGGTGAGGAGGAACCTAGTGAGCTTGAGGTTGTATGTATTGAGGCGAGGATGCTGATGGCCGAGAGGGAGATTATATCTCCCAAGGCTGAAGAAGCAGATGAGGGCTTCCAATTTGATATGGACTGTGAGGAAGCAGGAGGATTTGACTTCACTAGGAAGATGGTATCAGAGGACTACATGACTGGGATGCCATTCCATTTTGGTTTTGGAGGTGGTAATGGCCGTTCTCCATTTTCTAGAATAGAGGAAAGCATTGAGGAGGAGGAAAGTGATGAAGACGACGACGACGACGACGAAAAGAGATTTGTAGGTCTTCCAGCCACTGGTAAGATCCCAACCGTTTCTAAGCTGTCAATGTCCCTCAAGAATACCAGTTTCGGTGAGAAGATCCCGAAATACCAGAAATTATCTGGAGCAAAACTAGAAAATGGGTACCTGGCTGCTTCATCATCCGGCCATAGCAGTGCAAATGAGCAGCTTCCAGCAAGCGTGAGCTTTGTGAAGCTAGCAGACATGACCGAGGAGGAATGGGCACTGTTTTTAGAGAAGTTCCAAGAGCTGCTGTACCCAGCATTTGCCAAGCGGAAGTCTGTGACACTCGGTCAGAAGCAGAGACAGAGGCTCGGGACCTCTTGCCAGTTTTGAGAGAGCCGTATAACTACATTTTGAAAACGAATAAGACTGCAGGCTTGTTGGAGTGAAGGATTCTTAGGGTAGGCTTGGTTTATGGTTTTTCTCCCCGGAAGTTGTTTTACCAGGGAGTAGATGTAGGAGGAAGTGGTGTAAATATTCTTGGAGGCACCTCAAGTGAAAGGGCTGATTAGAATTGGTTGTATTTTTTGTGTTTCAACTTTTCCTTTTTTTTTTTTTAACTCACTCCTGATGGACTTGTTTGATAAATAATTTGTAGAATGAAATCTTAAAAAAAAAAAAAAAAAAGTCATGTAGAAATTGAACTTTGTTTCTTGAACTATTTTTCTATGATTTGTCTTTCTTGTTAGCTTGTAATGAAAGATTCTTGCCTCGCTTCCTATTCATTTTTGGGGATCCAAAGCAAGAGGTGATTTTGAGAATCAACCAATGGACAAGTAGTTGTGAAGGTGGGAAATTGAAGATGTAGACATAAAAGTAGGGTGTAATTCAGGCGGGTTGGACAATCAACGTTAGTCTACCTTTAGGTATATAATTTTTAATTATAACCCTAACCTTAATCCTATCTTGGGTTGGAAAACTCAACTTGGCACTGTCCAAGTTTAATTCGGGTGGGTTCGGGTTGAATTTGAATTAATAATTTCGGGTTGATTTTCGATTATTTTACGGTTTCAATTCGAGTAGAGCCCAAAATAGACTTGTTGTTCTAAACCTAATATATATATTATATAATATTCACCTAAATTAACAACTAATAATTTAAATTAAGTTTTTAACGAGAGAGGTTGAAAGAACGAGAGAAGCAAAGAGAACGAAAGAGACAGAGAACGATAGAACAAAAATGAAAAATTAGTGTTAATATTTTATATATATAATTTTTTTTTTAATTTGTCGGGTTTGGGTTGATCTCGGGTTCACGAGACCTTAATCCGAGCTCAACTCAAAATTGAATTCGAATTTGAGTTTTTCAACCCAAATATTAAAAATTTTTGCCTAAGCCTTAATTTTTTAGAGTTAGACTCGTGTTGAAATCGGATTGTCCAATTCAAATTGCACCCCAACATAAAAGGGCCGGTGTTTATATTTACGAGAACGTGTTTCCATTCTTCCTAGTATGTTATTCAATTGAGCAATGCTATAGACATCAGAGTCATGTTGTGATATGTAGCTACGTCATGGTTGTTCGAAATCATTATACAAGACAAGAATTATAAAGAAATTCGGCCATTGCTGACATTCTAAGCAGAAAAAAGAAAAAAAAGGTAGGAAAAGATGCAAAGAAACATCATTTGATGGGTTACCAATTCCATCAAATTCACTGACGGCTTTTCAACTCAATAGAATAGTAGATAATTGAGGGATTTGAAGAGGGTCGCACGTATGCAATCTTACTCCTCCGAGAATATTATTCTTATGATTCAAGTTTCAATAGAGCAATATTATCAGACACGCCCTCGGCTATGAAGAGCAAGTCCGGCTTGAATTTAGCTAAACAAACTTAGCAATATATGGTTCACTAAGAGTCTTATCAATCCAATAAAGTTATTTAAAAACATGGTTCAAAGTAATATGAAACCTCAAGTATTGCACGAGTTGTATCTGAATTAATTTCGAGTTATTGTCATTGAATCGGTTGATACGATTCCGCAACGCTATGATATGACCTGAATCTCTAATCATATTCAACATTTTCTTTTGAGTTATATTACCCGATATCTAATCGTAACACCACCACCGATATATCTTAGAGTTTTCTAAATCGATAACTGATACCACAATCTTAAATGATACTCATAAATGGTCGTTGAATACAGAATTATAATGATTAAATCAAAGTTATCATAGAAGCTTAAAAGCTTATAGTTTTGTTGAAGGTCTTCATCAGTAGTCAAATTTTAAGCAGACAGGACCTCTCCAATCTCCACATATGGCAGCAAATGAAAAAGCTGATGAAATTTGACTGTAAGTTAACGTAAAGCAACTAAGAATACAAAAGAAGATAATAATAGTTTGGATGGCAATGAACGTGGCAACCTAATCCTGATTGCCCCTATTTTGTTTTTGTATACCCACTTGTTCTTCCTGTGGGGTTCATGTGGCCGGCTTAGAATTCAAGTTATAATGATGGGGGCATGGCTATAGTATCGCAAAAAAAAAAAAATCAGTATCACACTGAAATTGATTTATAGTCATATATTTTAGTTTGATTAATTGTAAAAATAATAAATTAAAGTTGAATAATTAAATAAAAAAATACCCATGTTACGTATTTATCGGATGAAGGTGAAGGTGTTAGTATCAAAAAATTATTTTTTGATATTATATTTAGACCTGAATGATAGAGGAGGAAAACGACAAAAGTGGGCTGAGAGCATTCTAGTTGTCCATGAATAAGGTATTAAGGCATTATAGTTATGTTTGGCAAAAGGCTACCTTGAAAATCAATGCATTTGATTATGCCTAAAAAGCTTGCATTATTGTCCTTCATTGTGTGCTCTCTATGATCATTTATACACTGTTTCTGATGAAGAAACTCATTTCTTTACAGTTTGGCAGACTGCTTTTGGTCTTGTATAATGAGGGAGGAACCTACCTGCCCTGCTTCTAGGGTAATAAAGAATGAAAGCTCTACATGTATGTGGTAGATGCAAATGAACCTCAGCATGAAAGTGCGTGAAGGTTATCGATGACTTGTTTGTGTCAGTCGATTTTGTGTTGACTTATTTATTTAACGTGTCAATCATATTCATCTATTTATCACCTAAATCCACAAAGACTAACCCAAATCCGTACCTGCAAAACAATGAACAATCTAAACAAAAAGTACCAAGTTTCTAAACCTAGCTAGCAGACTTCTAGGTTTTGCTTCAAGATCTGATCCTAGCGGCTGAACTAAAAGCACATGATATAAATTGCTTAAAGAAACACCTCAATGTCTCATTTTTTTTTTGTGAAATCATATTTGAACTTGGTTAGTAGCCACAGCTCTTCCTTGTTGCATTCTCCTAGAAGGTCCTTGCCCCTTCAAATGTCAGTTTCGTGTTACCAAAACCTTTCATCAAGCTGGTCTTCCACTGAACTACCTACCACAAAATCCGCATGGTAATAGTTTACTGCAACTTATATGATAGAATAGGTTCTTTCTATTAAAGGCCTCCAGCTTGAAACAGTCTCTTTCTACGATCAGGGGTTGCATCCATTATAGCAAACTTTTAAATACCAGTCTTAGGCTTTGCATAAAAATGAAACTGATTACATGTAGAAATTCCTCCATATCAATAATTGTTAAGCACAAGATATCTACAAGTACTCTTTCTGGAGTCTGGACTACATGCCTACAACTATCTCATGTGAAATCAAGTTGGTTGATGGTTATGACTATTTTCTGTTGATGTAATCAGTTGTGCCTGATAAATCCTTTGATAGAAGAAATTATTGGAGATGATCCAATCATCGAGCATTTCCTTGTAGAAAATGCATGTTTTTTTTGTTGTTTAATTGGCAGAAAATATAATTGTTCACCATGAACAATGGTTTCCCACAGATTTGTGAGAATTATTGAGGTAGGTCGATATATTGGCTTGTCACTAAATATTTGCAAACTCTGACCATGGAAAATGTTGGTGTTTGCTCCCGTAGGGTTTCATGAAGGCATGAAATCAATGGAGAGAGTGTCTATGAAAGCATGAATGAACTAAGGGCCTTCATAGAACTACACATGGCTCAAAGGTATTGGTGTTACTCTGAGGAGGATTTGAGACATTTTGAACTATCCTCCAGACAAGTGTATGGTTGAGTTGCCAATGTTTCATTAATTAAGAAATCACAAGTAGAACAAAAATATGTCCTTTTTTATAATTTTCACTTTAGATATTGGGCGGCCCGCAATTTGTCTAATGAACTGAAGTTGACACATTAAGATGAATTGGAATCTGCTTTTTTTCTAGTCAATGAGAATCCTTACCAAATACATTTGGGAGAAGGCGACCGCCCCCAACTCCCAGCGGGTGGTTTGATTTTTAGGCATCAGGAACATGGTGGAGAATATGCATATGTATACAATAGCATAGGGTGGCCATCATGTGTTTTCTTCCTAATAAGATGCCATACATACATGACAAGTGCACCTACACAAAGCTGCTGAGAAACAAATTGCCTTGCCAGCCCAAGGATCCATGTTGATCATGTATGTAGAACTGTGAGAAACAGAATTTTATTGCAATTTTTGACAGAATCAGATCCAAGTTCATGTTAGACATGTCTCCATGGTCTTTCTGCGAGGTTTACACATTCGCTGTACCTAAAACAATCAACGAGGTGATCAATAGTCATTCCTGCAGCTTGCATGAAGGAATACACAATCACTGGCCCAACAAACCGAAATCCCCGTTTCAACATATCCTTGCTGATGACCTCTGCTTTTGGAGTTCGTAGTGGAACATTTCTTGGATACCTGTATCTGTTGATCATTGGTTTGTAGTTCACCGAACCCCACATATAGCTACTGAAAGAACCAAATTCCTTTGCAATCTGCATTAGATAAAAAGTAGGTACAGTGAGGAATTTGATGCATGCTAGTAAAACCTTCAGTGAAAATGTTGTGAACTTTTGACCAACTCTTAACTTGCCTTCAATATGCATTGGGCATTGTCTACTATGCACCTAACTCTGCTTTCTGCTAACATTATTGCTTTGTTGGAGGCTATTTCCATGATCTTTTTCTCCCCCATTTTGGCAACAGTGTCGGGATCAAATCCAGCAAAAGCTTCTCTATGATATTATCAGTCAAAAGATAGGATTGAATTAGTTATATGATTGTTGTAGTAATGCACTCAAGAAATCGTATTATGTCTTCAGATATTGAAGTTTTGGCAGGGCTTACTGATGTAAGAAACAGGAAACTTACCTGAATAGGTCTCTTCTTTTTAGAATTTCAGTCCAGTTGAAATCCATCAACATTCCAGACAGTGCAAGCAGCTCGAACAATTGGCTGTTTTACATGTTAAGTGTTACTGTTAAAATTTCATTCCATGAAGCGGATGAACTTGAAATCAATAAAGATGAATGACTTACTTGTCATCATAAACTGGAACTCCCCAGCACTCGTCATGGAATTGTACATAAACTTTATCTGCACACTGAGCTAATTCAATTTCTACATTCTGTACTGAATATAAATTCTTTCTATGTACATACGAATAATGGTGAATAGGTAGAGAGATTTTTGAGAAAGGTAGGAAGTTGAATAGGTAGAGAGTGAGAGGGAGAGAAAATAATGCAGAAGCATCATGGCAATTGCTTTGCAATTACTGATTAGTTTAATGATTGTGACAGGGCTATCATTGATGCCAAAGCCAGCAACGTGGTTGTAAAAACCATTCCGAAGGGCATGATTAAAACATAACATGAAGCTTGGCATCATTATGTTAATGCTGGACTGCAACCACCAAGTAGGAGCCTAGCCTCAAAACAATGGAAGCCAATTTTGGTAAGTTTGAGTAGATAAGTAATCTTTTCTCTGTTAGGGAGGCAGAATATTGATTCCATATCATAATTGATCAGACACTAGGAAAATCTAGCCAGTGACCTACTGACTAAACTTTCAAAAATCGAAAAAATATGGAAAACGAAGAGAAAATGAAGGGTCTCGTGAAAATGTATATTTCTATATTTCATGCAACATTGATTATGTAAAAATATATTGTACTTTGCTAGAAAGCATTTGATTTGATTTTGTGATTCCACATATCATCGGATATGGTGCATTTACATTAGTGTTTGGCATGCTAAGAAATATCAAAGATCAAACTTATATAACTGCAGGTGAAACAAAGCCTATAGCATGAGTTTTGACCAAGTAGTTAAGCTTACCATTGTTCTTTGTAATCCAGTAACACCTCTTTATGCCTTCTTCACTTGGATTTGAAGCTGGTTGTTGGACATTTTTAGCCACTGAGACCTCTCTTCTTTCTGGTGGTGCAATCAAGCGGAGTGCTAAAGAGATCTTCTGATCCAGGGGAGATATAGAGTCAGCAAGAGAAGAATCGTTGGAGTTCTGTGACAAAGACAACGATAAAGACGATAGGGAGAGAGGTGAGCAGCTTTTATGAAGACCAACAGGGTAAACTTTTTTCAGGTGTTTAAATAAAAAGCTGTGGCTTGGCTTCTCTTTTTCATAGGAAGCACTTCTGTTCTTCTCCACAGCAGTTTTTCTCACATTTTCTCTTGACATTCTGTAGAAGAAAAGAAACAAAAAGACTTAAACTGGATAGTTGTGAAGATAGTGGAGATTTATAGATTGAAGCTTCAAATGAGATGGGATGTCAGAAGGAAGATATGTGAAGGTTGGTGGAATGTGAACTTCATTACAGAGTGCCATTTTCACCTTAAACATAAAGCAAAAATTGTGTAGAACTCGCGAAATTTGTAAAATATTTTCGAAAGCGATGCTTTGAATTCTAGATTTTTGAACCAAACAACCTAAAACCTTAAGATTTCTGAGCATACGAAATGATTAAGACATAACCTTAGAGTTCAGAAAGATTAAGACACTGTTCAGTTCAGGAATATGCTGCATAGCATTAGTTTATGGCTGTTCAGTGGTTGACCTTACTGATTTAATAGTAATACATAGCAGGTAAGACATTTAGAAGCAAATAAAAACAACATTAGGAGTAAGGAATCTAACTAGATGAGTACCAGTATCCAGAAAAGAACAAATGATTAATAGGATGGTCAAACCATAAAAGTAATTTGTTGCTTGAGTCGTCACCAATGTCTATTTAGGCCGGCCTATTACAACTAGGAATCAAATTTTGCCAATAAAGTTATTATGCTTTAAGTTCATAATTCTACTCGATATAGAGGCTTCCGTTTATTACGGGCCTGGAAGAGATAATTAGTAGACAGTCTTATCTATTAGAAATTGGTTCAGGGCTAACATGTCTTTTTTTTTCTCACATGTTCTCTTGACATGCTGCAGAAAAGAAGAAAGTCCCAGCCTTATATCCTACGTATGTAATGGTTTGAAGCTTATAAAGATTGATTTCTCCGATGAGATAAGATGTCAGAAGGAAAAAAAAAATGAAGGTTGGTGAAATGTGAACTTCATTATAGAATGCCATTTGCACCTTGATTAATAAGCAAAATCAGTAAAATAAACTAGTTAAGGTTGTCATTGCACTGAAATGTACGAGACTCCCGTTTATTATGGGTCTCGCATAGTTGAGTAGTAGACATTCTAATCTCTATTTTAGGGAGTTAGATTTTGGACTTGAACTTACAATAGTGTAGACGGATAACCATTTGTTATACCTTTACGTCCGAATCATACCCTTATTAATAGTCATACTTTTAGTTGTAGTGTTTAACTCACATACCAAACATGCCTAAGTTCCACTCATATGCTCTGAAGGGTTGAGGCAAACCTATTGTCTGCATAGACAAAGATGTCCCATCCACAATTCTTCCCAGTCTTTCCTGCTTCCTACTATTCCATGAGTCTTGGTATTAAGCAAAGGTAAAACTACTCAAGCTGCAAATAGGCTATGGATGTGCTAATGACACCTAAAATATAATAAAGTAAAACAACACATTCTAAGTTTAAGTTTTTTTGGTTATAAAACTAAATTTAATCGAGATGCGTGTGATTTGTGAGTGATTACGTATATCTAAAATTTGTGTTATACTTTTTAGTCCGAAGGATACGTGATTTTAACGTTGCATCTCAAATCTAAAGCTCAAGATGTATGACGGTTAATCCGATGCATATGATTTTTGGGTAATTACACATACCTTTTACTTATCGGTTCTAAATATATAACTGCCTCTACCTGAACGATTCCTTTGATTCGGGTCTTGACCATAGAGCAAGAGTAGGCTGAGAAGGCCAAGCCGAGGCCCAGTATCCAAGCCTATATAGCATGACGACGTCGTTTTGATGCTCAGACTCTCTCTCCCAATATCTCTGTTTCTCCCTCCTCTGTATCTAAAACCCTAAACCTCTCTCTCTCATAATTGGCGGGAGATCAACGGCGCTCTTCAAAACCCTGGAGCTCTCTCATGCTCAGTCGCATTCACCAATGTCGACGAACACTTCTAATCCCACTAACACCCCAAATTCTCACCCCTCCTACTTCTCTCATATTCACTGAAACCTCTGTTTCAGCCGCAAATCTCACCATCGACGAAGAACCCACCACCACTACCACCACCACCTTTCTGTCTTCCCCAAGCGACATCATTTCTGGAATCCTCGCTGGCCTAAAGGGTCTGGGTTCCGTGAAATCTTTCCGGAGAGACCACCAGTTTAGAAACCTTTTTTTGTCTTTGAGTTCCGCTCAAATTGAGGGGATTATTGATAGTTTGAGAACAGAAAACGCGGAGCTTGCTATAGAATTGTTTTATTTGTTGAGGAATGACTATGGGTGTAAGCATTCTAGGGTTTCTCAGTTTCTTATTGCTCATATTTTGGCGGGAAAAAGAAGGCCCAAGGCATTGCGTTCGCTTTTACAGCATGTGGTTCAAGAAGAAGGTAATACATTTCATCTCACTGTCGGTATTATATACATCTATATCTATATGTAGGTGTGGGTGTTTGGGGGGGGGGGGTTGGTTTTAATACTTTTTTTTTTTATAACATTGCCATTTTTCCGTTTACATAGATTTCTTGTGATTTCCGTTAGGCTGTGGCTCTGCGCCTTCACTTTGTGAGCTGCTTTGCGATGGCTTCAGGGACTGGAATTCAAATTGTACTGTGTGGGATATGCTGGCTTTTGCTTATTCCAGAATTGAGATGGTCCATGATGCCCTTTTTGTTATTGCCAAGATGAAAGATTTGAGTGTCCAAGCTTCGGTAGTGACTTATAACAGTTTGTTGCACAACCTGAGACACACTGATATCATGTGGGACGTGTATAGTGAAATGAAAACCACTGGAATTCCTCAGAGTGAACACACTAATTCCATTCTTATAGATGGGCTATGCAGTCAATCCTTGATACAAGAAGCAGTTTCATTTCTGCGGGAGACTAGAAGGGTAGAGCCTAAGCCTTCAATTGTTTCATTCAATACTCTCATGTCAGGTTTCTGTAAAATGGGTTGTGTAGATGTTGCAAAATCCTTCTTTTGTTTGATGTTTAAGAGTGGATTACTACCTGATGCATACAGCTACAATATCATTATTCATGGATTATGCGTAGCAGGCTCTATGGAAGAAGCTTTAGAACTTATGAATGACATGGAGAAGCATGGCATAGACCCTGATGTAGTCACCTATAACATTCTTGCGAAAGGGTTTCGTCTACTTGGTATGATGAGTGGAGCGTGGACGATAATTCATCAAATGCTGCATAAAGGATTGACTCCAGATAATTTCACATACACAATACTTATCTGTGGTCATTGCCAGACTGGAAATATTGAAGAAGGCTTTAAGTTGCACAAAGAAATGCTTTCAGGAGGTCTTCAGTCGAGTAATATCTCATACAGTGTGTTGTTCAGCAGTTTCTGCAAGAGTGGACGGGTTGATGAAGCTCTGAGTTTGCTTTATGAGATGGAAACTGTTGGTTTAAAACCAGATGTTGTGATGTATTCCATCCTCATTCATGGCCTCTGCAAGCAAGGAGATGTACAAAGGGCAATTCAATTGTATAAGGAAATGTGCTCACAGAGAATCTTCCCAAATTCTTTTGCACGTGGAGCTATTCTGCAGGGCCTGTGTGAGAAAGGGACAATATCAGAGGCTAGAATGTATTTTGATACTGTAGTAAACAGTGACTTAGTGGAGGATATTGTTTTGTATAATATTATGATTGATAGGTATGCAAAACTCGGTAATATTGGAGAGACTGTACAGTTATACAAACAAATAATTGAGAGAGGAATAAGTCCAAGCATAGTCACTTTCAATTCTCTAGTTTATGGGTTCTGCAAAACAAGAAGACTAGCTGAGGCTAGAAGGTGGCTGGATGCTGTTGACATATATGGTTTGGTACCAAATGCTGTAACTTATACCACTCTTATGAATGCATTTTGCGAAAGGGGAAATATACAAGCCATGTTTGAACTGCTACGGGAAATGGAAGCACGGGCTGTAGAACCAACTCATGTCACTTTCACAGTGCTTATAAAGGGACTTTGCAAACAGAGGAAGCTGCAAGAATCTGTCGGATTACTCAAGGATATGTTTGCTAAAGGTCTATCCCCTGATTCAGTTTCGTACAACACCATCATTCAATGCTTCTGCAAAGCTCAAGATACAAAGAAAGCTTTTGAGTTACACAGTGAGATGTTATTGCACAATCTTCAGCCTGATCATGTTACATATAACATTCTTATCAATGGTCTATGTGTGTATGGAGACCTAAAGGATGCTGATAGACTATTCTCTTCGCTAAGGGACAAAAATATTCGATTGACAAAAGTTGCTTATACCACACTTATCAAAGCTCATTGTGTAAAGGGTGATGTAGAGAAGGCAAGAAGGCTATTCTGTCAAATGGTGGAGCTGGGATTTGAGATCTCAATTAGAGATTACAGTGCTGTGATTAATAGATTGTGCAAAAGATGTTTCATAAATGAAGCAAAAATTTTCCTTCATATGATGTTATCCCAGGGTGTCTCTCTTGATCAGCAAATTTGTTCAGTTATGCTCGATGCTTTCCATCTGGTTGGCGACCTCAATTCCATGCTTGAATTACTTGCTGAGATGATCAAATGTGGCCTAGATCCTGGTTGAATCATGAGAAACAGATGATTCTTATGCTCCTCAATTGGGAAAGTCAGCTCATTTGTTGATACTGGAAAATTGCATACAAGGTATCACTCTACATCAAAGCTTCTTATCTTTCAAGATAATCTTCTCTTAGAAAAATTTGTGCTTAGAATATATCTTATACAATAGCCAGTGGAAAATAAATGTATTGCAATTAGCATCCACCTCTTGCTTGGTTTTACAAATGTTATTTACATGTACCTATAGTTACACACAATCACTCCTATGTGCACACTCGCGTTTTATTTTGCTGGATTACGGTACCACAGTTATCATTTATTATTATTTTTAACTTCAGTGAAGTGACTGAAAATTATCTTATTAGGTTTTTGTGGTGGTTTAATATAAACTTGGAATTCATCTTAATGTTAAAAAATGCAGGTAGGATTTGGCGCTTGTAAGCAAAATTGGATCTTTTTATATATTAATACTAATATAATGAAATTTATCAATACCAAAATTTATTTCTTTATTCACTCTAAATTTTCAACAGAAATCTTAATTTTTTTTTTTCTAAATTGTCCCAGGAAATTAATCTAAAAATCTTTGCAATTAATTTTCTTGAAAAATATGCCCAACAAATTTTACACAACAAAAGAATTAGAGGGATTTAATGTAAAACAAGGGGTCTGATGTAATTATTATAAACAAGGTGTGTTATTATAAATTATCGAAAAAATTAGAGGGGAAAAATGTAACTTTACATCATCGACGTGTGTATATCACATTGAGGAGCGATGGCAGTCTATTTTCATGAACAATATGGGTGCAGTGGAAATTTTAGAAACAACTGGGGGTGTCATTGTAATTTACCCTTATGTTTAATATTGGGTTCCCATCCACTATAATGGACTAGTATTATAATTGATCAGTTGCCTAGTGATTATTTAGTTTGGCGCATCCTCATTTATTTTGGTTTTTTCATTGCTTATATGGTCTATTGGCAGTTCATTTATAGCTTTATCTCTCTTAAAATTTCTAAACACTCCATAAATGTTAATGGACTGTTCACGATGGTTGTTACTGTCAAGGAGAATTAATTAACTTTCGAACATATACCTAAATAACCAGCAAACAATGTGTCAGACAGAGTTGGGTGGAGATTTGGAGGCAAGATCTTCAGAAACTATCCTTCAGGTACATTTCTAAGGTCCTCCACTTTGTCAAAGATATCAGATCAAAAAAGGATGGCTTACACATAAATATATATGTGTAGACATGATTTAGATGACATTTTTTAATATTCAACAATGTAAAATGATTAACTCATTCCTTTTACTAATTATTCCTTGTCATCTTTTTCTATTCATTTAGGTTTTGAAGGAAACAAGCAGAAATGGAAAGGAGCCCCATGCAGCCTTTGGCCTTTCTATTTATGCTCCAATGTCTCTTATTGTCCACAATGGCACACCAGTCGACTTGCACCAGCTATCGACAGCAGTAACAACAACCATCTGAAGGAGGGAGCCATTGCAAATTTTCCACCATATGGTGTCGACTTCCCGAACAGGTCTTCCACTGGCAGGTTCACAAATGGTTACACAATTGCAGATGTCCTTGGTGAGTTGCAACAAAAATAAATGAACAAATTCATGCAAAATGGAACAAAGAATTACTTACAACTGATTAGAGAATGTAGTGCAGATACAGTAGTAGCAGGTTTTACAATCATGAACAATTTGGTGAATTCCTTGCAAAAGAACTAGGACAGAGTTTGAAGGTAAGTCAAGACCTCTCCACCTTTTAAAAGGGTTTCCTTTTTTTCTAGATTGTGTGCTGTCAATTCCTTTGATTATGTGAAAAATGTTTGCCTATGACCACAACTGGTTGGTTATTTCAATTAGTATGCGGATTTGCTTTTCTTTGGGACACGGGAATTAAATAAAATCTAGCCGGATGGTGTTTCAAATGCCACAATCCCTAGACAGCAAACTAATAATGATAATAGTTATGGGGTGCACATAGATAAACACATGAACATAAATGCAATATATACAGGGGGGGTGTTTTAAAGAGAGAGGGAAAGAAAACCCACACAACCAATTTCTTCTCTCTCTAGAATCTAAATATGTGAAATATGTATTTATAGAGATCCACACACATACAAATGTATAGATAGACACCATATATGTGTGAATTATGAATTAGGTGAATTTTTGAGGGGTTTTTTAATAAAGAAAAAATACGGAGAAACTGCCAGGTTTGTCTTTACATGTTGAATGAGGTTATTGAGTTTTTTTACCAAATTATTCAGCATAATCCAATTTTGACACGCCCAAACCAAATGCAAAATTTTTTTTTGGGGTTCTGTTCATGGAACTGTGAAAGAAGAATGACCTTTGTGCTGAAATATACTTGCAGGACCTGTACAATCTTGGTGCCAGAAAATTCGTTGTTTCTGACATTGGGCCCCTTGGTTGTTTGGCAGTTGTGATGGAGAATATTAGACCGAAAACAAGATGTGCAGAGGATGTGAATAGTATGGTATCCCTTTAATAAAATGCTTGCAGTTCAGCTTCAAAATTTAAGCTCCACCCTGAGAGGTTCAACCTTCGTCATGGCAAAAATATACAAGGTTTTCAAAAACATTTTCATGCATCCTGTAATTTATGGTGTGTCATCTCTCTCTCTTTCTGTGTCTCTACTCTCTAGTATAAATTTATTTTACTTCTCCCTATAGTTTGAACTACTGACATTGTATCTCCCTTTACTTTAGAGTGGCTTTGGACTGAAGTGTACAGCTAATTGAGTTTTTTTTTTTTAACTGAGTTAAGACCTTAGTATAGAAGAATAATGTCCTTCACCTTTGTTTTCTGATTTTTGTGTTTTCTTCTAAAAATTATAAATTGAAAAATCTACTTAATGCATGGAAAGGAGTATAAAAATATGTTGTATGGAAAGCTATAAAAATTGTTTTGATATGTTATTTTATTGTGAATAGAGACTTTTGACCGTTAATTGTCGCAAAATTTCTGACGGTCTCAACTTAGTCTGAAACCCCATGGGTTATATGTAGGTTTCTAAATAATAGGAAAGTAATATGTTATTGGATCAAATTTTCTTTTTTGTTTTTCATATAATTGGTTGATTTAATTTTTTTTAACTCCAAGCTGATTGCTTAAAGGGATAATTCTTGCTTTCATCTCTGTAGGAATCAAGGAAACCAGAAAAGCATGCTGTGCTCTTGGGAGGAATGGCAGTGGACAATGTATAAAAAATACAATTCCTTGCAAGGATAGGAACTCTTAATGGTACAGGTATGTGCACTCCAATGAATGTGGTTCAACTTGCCAGAAGCCATAGCAGAAGCTTGCATTTTGGTTGTGTCACAGCAAGAAACAATCCAGCTCACTTATTTTAAGATTCTTTTTGTTTTCTTGGCCTTGTCTTTGTGTGTCAATTTTCGACACAAGACTTCCCATGATAAAATCCGAAAATGATTGGATCAATGAACACAATTACAAACTGGTGGTTTAGTGAGAAACATGAATAGAAGATCCTTAACTGGTATTTAGGAAAAAAATGTTCATTTTTTAGTTTTTATGTTTTATTTTCAACCTAGTGCTATATGGAGTGCTGTTGAAGTAAATGGTTTTTATTTGGTTTTCATAGGATGTGAATCAATTATATTTTTAATTTAGTTGATCTATATGTGGTGGACTTGATTGAAAAAAAAAAGAAAAGATAAGAGGATCCTAATTCTGCAATTTCAGATTCTAAGTTCAGAGATTACATGAAATGACTCAAATCGACATAAACCCAAAATGTTACGTCTCAAATATACACAAAAAGGAACTACATCACCAAAGTATCTATATAATAAAGTACAAAGATTGAATGTACACAAAAATTATTTTTGTTTTTCGCAAGTGAGATTGTTTTAAATTAAAATTAATCTGATGGTTAATGTTAATTTTTTAAATTTAATATGGAAAATAGGTCTTATAAGGGTGTGTTTAGGGTGATTTTTTAAAAATGTTTTTAAGATTTATAATTTTTCATAATCAATTTTTAAAAAATAAAAAAAATAGTATTTAGAATAACTTATTTTAATTATTTTCAAAGAAGTCAAGAGTAGTTTTACAATTTAAATAAATAAGTAAAAGTAAAAATAAAATAATTTTTATTTCTCTAAAATTACTTCTCTACAAAATATTTCACCACCATGAGTTGTTGCCACCCCACTCCCATCACCATTGCCCCATTAGCACTGCCATTGCTTCACCATCGTTGTCACCACAATTGTTGTCGCCACCTTACCACCACTGCCACCGTTCCACCACCACCTCCACAATCATCGTTCATCTACCACCAATTGCTACCATCATCGCCCATTGTCACCGTCACCAACATCATCATGTTATTCTTGTATATTTTATCATTACCACCACCAGCCCCCGACCATCGTCGCCCTACCACCACTGTTGTCACCCACCACTGTCGCCACCCCTATCACCCACCCCCACCCCCACCATGCCTACGACCACCATCGTTATTCACCACCATCTACCATTATTGTTATCCATAAGCACCCGTCGTCGCCCTACCACTATCGTCACCATGACTGCCACTATCACTATCATCACCCAAAACCCATCATTACCTTCATCGTGTCTCTCACGGTTGCCACCACCACCACCATTGCTGCCCATCACTACTGCCACTGTTCCATCACCACCATCATCGTCACCCATCACTGATTGTTACCATCGCTGTCCACCGTCACCAACATCATCATCTTATTCTTGTATTTTTTATCACTATCACCATCATCCCTCGACCACTGCCACCACCACCATCGTTGCCCCACCACCACCCGTCATCGCCCATCATTATCGTTATCAACTGTCACCCACCCCCACCACACCTACCATCATCATCGCCATTCACCATCACTACCTACCATTACTGTTGTTCACAAGCACCCGTTGTCACCCCATCACTATCACCACCATCACCTATGACTGCCACTATCACCATCATCATCCAAAACCCACCATTACCTTCATCATGCCACTCACAATTGCGCCCACCACCACTACCACCACCATTGCGCCCACCACCACCACTACCACCGTTCACCTACACTATAACCAATGTTTAAATTTTTTTTCTCTCTTCTATGTTTGTGATTTGATTTTAAATGTAAATACAAATATATTTATGATGAACAATTTTTCTCATTACTCTGTGCCTGAAGGCATGAGCAATAACTAGTTATACGATATGATTCAATTGACAATCTTAACTTTTGACATTGTGCTGTATTCTACGAAAGGCCACATACTTGAATATGCACACAGCAAGTAATTGCATCAAACTTCTGGCCTTGTAATCATGTATAATTTTGCTGCCTTGTTATCATATATCATTTTGCTTTTCTTATAGCTACGTTGCGTATCTGTGAACAAAGAGTGAACATTTCAGAATACAAAAGAGGCCCTTGAGCAACATGTTATACTCATTCCATTCTGTTGAATTATCAGCAGTATGATACACAAAGAGGTCATTCATACTAGGACTTCTATTGAAGAAAACTTTTGGGGGAGAGAGAGAGAGAGAGCATCGGTTTTGTTCAATTATTTTTAGGTGGGTGATATTTTACCCCAGTATAATCAGCACTGAAAGCAACTAAACCAGCCACATCCATTTTTTCAGATAGGAGACTTCTAAGACTTTGCTGACCTCCTAAATTCAAAGCCACACCCACTTGAAGATTTGCACCATTTTCCTTCATCTTCTCTATCATCTTGAGATCTACCAACGCCATTTTCCGTCCTCCCAACTGGTTTTCTGTAGCAGCAGTGGCCACGACAACATCATCCAGAAGTTCCTATAAACAGCCATCAATGGGTTAGGCTTACCTCTAAGTTTCAAATAGCTGGAAGATCCTTCAATTATTTTTGAATGGTGACAGTTTATCCAATGCAGTATTCCCTAATTCAATTTTTTTAAGAAGTTTTGAAAATTAATTTTTTCAAAAATCGAAATTTCAAGTTTAAACACTATAAAATGTTTCTTAGAAATTTAAAATCCTTAAAAGGGTCCGAAATTAAGGGATAGAGGATATATATGATATATATATATAGTCTGATGGTGCATGATGATGTATAATTTTACCTCTCCACTTGAAACAGCATTGCATCCTTTACCTGCAATATTTCCACCTACAAATATTTTGAAAAACAACTGCATAAGATAGAATTAAAATAAAAGATTGGTCAAGTTAGGAGGAGGAGGAGGAGGGGGAGGTAGAAGTAACCTTCCATTATTAGGTTTTTTTTTTGGTTATAAATCGTAAATGGCCACTATTACAATAAACATTCAACTACTACGATGTAGAAGAATGCATCTACAATAGAGAAGAAAGTACTCACTACAAAAGTAAAGAGCAGTCCGAAAGAATGGTACAATGTACCTCCTAAAAAGAGGACTATAAGAAATCAATCATTGCTTAGGTTAAAAAGGGCAGAACATACCTTGTTGCATATGTGCATTGAAAAGCTTTCCAGTAATCAGAAATAAGATTAGTAATAAAATTGCCAACATAACAGGCTTCAACATCGTTATTCTTGCTTTCATGGGTATATCTCTTGTTCAATGGAGAAAACATGCAAAGAGAAGAATAACAGCAGAAACTGTCTGGACTTCATATATATATATATATAGAGAGAGAGAGAGAGAGTGAGTGTGTGTGGTCTAACATCAGAAAATTTATACAAGCCCAGGTCAAAGCTAGGGATTATGGTTCCAAAATGTGTCTCCAATTTCAAGATTCACTAATAAATGGGGATCAATTTTTGGGGTTTGCATTTACATGATGGAGTGCTCTACATGAATGTTCGTGTCAGCCCATGTGTCACTTAGATTACCAATACAAGGATCTTGAGACATTTGGAAATAACTATGGTACCGTATATCCATCCTAGAAGAAGTTCAAAGGGTAATAGGGATGAACAATAAATTCAAAAGTCTTGAATTCGAATCTTAGCAACCTCATAGGGTCAGGTCATGAGAAATTTATCCTTCATAAATACCTTAGTTCCGGCGTAGATAATTTGTCTTTGGTTGGACTAAGGAGGAGATTAATCGAGGTATGCGTAAATTGGTTTAAACACTTTCGACCGATGAAACAAAAAAAAAATAGAACTGTATTGAAAATTACATCATTTAAAAGTGAAGTTACAATATTTTTTCTCGGGGTACAAATTACAACTCAAAAAATTATACTTGACTCTAAATTTATGAGCTTGTGGTCAAAAAAATAATAAAAATCAAATGAAGTGATATTACCGTAATAATATTTTTAGTCTACTTTTATTCATTAAAAATTCAAATTTTATTTATCATGTTAGCTACCACATCATTTAAACATTGTTTTTGGTTCAATTACGTGGGGTCGGTGTGAGTGTGTGTGTGTGTGTGTGAGAGAGAGAGAGAGAGAGAGAGAGAGAGAGAGAGAGAGAGAGAGAGAACTTTCAAAGCTTGAATTGAACAACGTGAGTTTACAAGAACTCGGTGGGTGGAAAATACTGTGGGATAGGAGAAGTGTAACATGGCGTGGAGCGGAAGAAATGGGTGTTTGGGTCTTGTCTGCTGCCTACCAATCCATGCATTGGACGAGAGGAGTTTACCGAGGTCTGCATGACCACAAAGTTTGGATTTCTATGCATCTGTTTTTATATGGGGGGTGTAATTTATCTCCCATAGCAACATCAATCTTGAGCACTTCTAGGGCCTTAGTTTCTGCGCTGATAGCTACTAACAGAGAGAGATTAATTTGTAGTATTCTTATTGCAAAGCTTAATTGAAAAACATTTGCTATTCAAATGTTGGGATTGAGTATTGAAAATATAGATGGGACTTCACTTTTGGATTGAAAGCAAATACATATATGACCACTGATAATCCAGTTGAATTTGTCGAGTTCGTTTTTTTCAAACGAGTCTAAAAAATTATTAAAGTTAAGCACATTTAAAAAATGAGTGAAGCCTGAACCGAGCCTAAAATGAGCCGAACTCAAATAATTCGATTATTTTATATATAAATGAGTCGATTTTTATGAGCTCAAGTTGAGTCTTTTAGAAAACAAGTCTAAAAATTGTTCAAATTTCACTCATTTAGAACACGAGTCAAGCTCGAATCGAGTCTACCTAACCGAGCGAGCCGAACTCGAATAGCTTGACTCAATTATTAGTCTTACCCTCAAAAGATTATATAGTTGCACCAATAAAAATAAATAAAATATATAAACTGTTAATTTTGTAACTCAAGCAGTAAAAATCATGTCACAGCTTATTCACATTTTCCATATGACATATTCATTTGATTTTTTTCAGTCACTGACATTCATTTTCTCCAAAATATCCCCCTTATAGTCATGGAGATTTTATAAAATATCTCCATGAGTTTACTCTAGAATGATGCTCCATTCATGGTGAAGTTGATTAAACTTGATGACTTGTCTTGATTGTGGATCGGATTGAGAACTTTGGGAATGGGATTTGGGTCATTATGTAATGGGTTAATTGTAGCGGTTGTCCTTTAATTTTGCGTTTCGTCTCATTTTGGTCATCAACGTTACAATTGTACACATTAGTCCTAATGTATTGAGAAGTGGACCCCATGTACAATAACGACCAAATTTTTAATTGTTTTTGTTCGTGTAATTCCCACATGCTCCCAAATGATGAAGGGTATATTGGACAAATCACTGGCTAGTGACTTGACCCAAAAATTATGGCAGTGTTCTTCAAAGTATACGTTCCGTCTCATTTTTGTCCTGTAACATTGTAATAATATCACATTAGTCCCTAACGTATTCAAATTGTTTTTAAGTGATCCTTATGTATAACGTTGTCTAGATTTCCCTCTACATGCCCCCCAAATGAATGGCATATTGGACAAACCATTGTCCACTTGACTCAAAAAAAAAGTGTTGTTCTTGGAGAAAAATATTATTACTAAAGGTTAACTGTCGTAGCATTTCTGTTCTTCCTGTTTGTCAGTCGTCGATGATGAGTTATAAGAAAAGGACAATACGAGTAAGGGGCATTTATTCCTTACTAGCAGTACAAGATGACTATAAATTCTCGTTCTTACATTGTCATCTTCTTGTTACTCACCACCTATAACTGAAATGAGGGAATAACACAATCCCAAGGTAATTAAACCTTTGTGTGAATAATTCTTTCTAGGAACAACACATTTTTTTGGGTGAAGTGGGGAGTGATTTATCCAATATGTCCTTCATTTTGAGGCACGTGGATAGCACATGGCAGAAATCGTTAAAAATCTAGACAATGTCGTGCAAGAACCACTTAAAAATAAATTGAATTCATTAGGGAACTACTATGATACGATTGCAACGTTGGCCAAAAGGAGACGGAGTACATAGTTTGAGGACCAGTGCTATAATTTTTGGTTAAATAATGATTTGTCTAATATACTCTTCATTTGAGAACAAGTGAAAAATACATGAGTAAAAAACGTAAACAATCTAAACGACTACATGTGTGAAAACCACTTAAAAACAAATTGAATACATCAGGACTAATGTGATACAATTGTAACATTATAGACCAAATGAGAAATGGTGAAAACTTTAGAGATCACCATAACAATTAACCCTTAAGTAATTGAGGGTGTAGCTTACTGCATTAGGAGAAATGATTGAGCTTAATCTCGAAGTTGTTAATCATGTCTTAGTTTTTTTTTTTTTTGAAACCAAATCGATCACAAGTGATACAAGCAATGATTTACTAACAAAAATGTGGTGTGGTCAACTCCCTGAATGTTGTATATACATTCATAGTGAGACTGCCACGAGTTTGAAGAAGGAAAGTGGTGAGGTTTTCTCTAAAAACAAAATCAATTATTTTTGAGAAATATTAATAAGAAAACTAGTTTCATACAAAAAAAAAAAAATCGAAGAAAAGTTGAAGTTTGGGCAAGACAAAAGTCAAATGCCACCTGCCCAAATAGCTAAAACAATGACAAAATTAAAACCTAGACCAATGTGGTGGGAGACTATATCCAAAACAATAATGTTATTTAGATTTAATTTATTGACATAATTATTCATAATTATTGGGTTAAGAATGAATCCGGATATTTGTTACGACCAGCAATCAATTGTTTGTGATGAATTAATTCAATAAATTATGTAAACAAATTAGATTTAAATAGTATTTCTCTATGTACACAAAAAAAAAAAAGGTAAGATCCTTATTGATAGGACATGTAGAATAATTGCAAGACCATTTTATCCATGTCCACCACTTTTTATAAAGCATGGTTCAAAATATCGGTCGATATCGATATAAGTCGTATTCGATTTGACATCTTCTGAAATGATACGTATAAATTTCAAGTCTTGCATGATTGATTCGGTCGAGTTGTATCAAAGTGAATTTCGAATCGTCAAATTATCGTTACCAATTCGATCGATATGGTCTTGTGAAGTCGCAAAATGCCCAAGCTTATATCATGGACCAGCAGCTCATTGCTATCACACTGATGGAGTACCTTATATCAGACATTTATTTAGTTAGATTGGTTTGTCTTTAGTTTTTTGCGGCTCAAATTGATTTAGTATTATTGATATGAGGATTATAATTAATCTACATTCTTACACGACTCTACTATATTCTTTTTATCTCTCCTTATCTCCATTTAAACCATTAGAACAATATCTACGTTCCTACAGAATTGCTACATTCTTTTTATCTCTCCTCATCCCCATTCAAGAGATTGGCTTGGACGATTATATATATATATTAAAAAACAAAATATATTCTAATATCTATTAAAACTCTAATAAAAAAAATTATCTCTAATAAAATATAGGTTCAATCTTTTATTAGAGATAATCTTTTTTATTAGAGTTTTAATAAATAAATAAATAAATATATATATATATATATATATATATATATATATATATATATCTATAATTCAATCTATATAATAAGCAATTCAAATGCGTATTTTAAAATCTATATAATAAATTAGATAGATTTATTTGTCTTGAAATTTTTGCTGCTCGAATCGTTTGAGAATTATTGATCCAACAATTCTAATTAAACTTTCCTTCATTTTAAAACTCTAAGACTTCCATCTTTAATATAACTCTCTTTCTCTTTATATCTCATACACCAACTCTCATATGTATATAACCTTCTCTCTCTCCCTCCCAGATATTTTAAACACACTCTCCCATCTCTTATACTCTCTCTCTATATATATATGAGATAGAATGAAAATCAAATTAGATCATTAAAACAAACAAGTTATCTCATACTTTCTCTTTTAGTATTATTTGTTTGTCTTGACGATCTTAATTGAACTTATTTACTCAAAACATTTGTATGATTTTATAGATTAAAAAAATATAAATAAAATTCAAGTTGATCACCAATAAAAAATAACGAGTGTTACCAATTGCACAAAAAAAAAAAATTCAAGATCAAGCTAATCACTAATAAAAAATAACAAGTGATATCAATTGCACCAAAAAAAATTTTAAAATTATGCACCAAAAAAGAAGACAATATTCTAAAGCAACTATCAATTTTTTTTTC